GCTAAGCCCCATCTGTGAAACCGGGCCCTGATGTTTATCTTAAATTTATTTAATTAAAAGAAATGGTTAAATGAAAAATACACCCTAATAAAGGTAAACATTGCTCATGGAATGAAATTCAGGAGGGCGAATATTAAAGGGATAGTTCACCCAAAAATAAACATTTTGTCATTTACTCATCCTCGCGTCGTTCCAAACCTGTATGAGTTTCTTTCTTGTGTTGAACATAAAAGAAGATATTTTGAAGAATGCTGGGTAATCAAACAGTTGATGGTCCCTGTTGACTTCTATAGTATTTCTTTCCCTACTATGGAAGTTAATAGGGACCAAAAACTATTTGGTTCTTCAAAATTCTTCGAAATATCTTCTTTTATGTTCAACATAAGAAAGAAACTTATACAGGTTTTCTAAGAAAGAATAGAGGTTTGGAACGACATGAGAGGTGAGTAAATGACAAAATATTCATTTTTGGGTGAAGTATCCCTTTAAGAAAATAATGAATAATGTATCATTTTTCTTTGCTTTCCTTTTCGTCTTTACTGTCTTCTTTTCTCTTTGGTTTGTAGATTGAACGCTACATTAACAGTCCAGAAGCTCTTCACAATCCGCCGGACTACACGGATATCCTGAAGGTGGTTCAGCGCGCCAACGAACGCTACAAACTCATGCTCACCCGCAATAAGATGACACAAATCGCTCAAGAAGCCTTCAGAGAAACGGGCAACAAACTGCAGGAGAGACGCCAGCTTGACATGGTCTACAACTTCGGCTCCCACCTCACCGATTCCTTCAAACCTAGTAATTCAGTTCAGTTACTCTCCAATTCAGCTAGAGAACATAATCAAGTCTTATTGTATTAGTCTTATGTTTTACACGTGCCAATAATTTCTGCACATTTCTGGATTGCTGTAAACATGGATGGGGTCCAGTAATATTTAATGATTGTAAGTTCAGCATTCAAGTTGAATGTCCTGTGTTTCCTTCAGCGTTAGATCCTGCACTCACTGATCCAGCACTAAATCGCAAACTCCGCTCAAACAGAGACGTGGCTCTCAGCAGCCTGGAGGAGGTGATCACCAAATACTCTAATAAACAGGAAGACATAGAGGTAGAGGAAATGAGGAAGAAACAAGAGAGAGACAGGCAGAAAAAAGAGGTAAAAGAACCAAATATGTTCTTATATATATTG